TATATATGGCAAAAATATATATGTATTCCTTATATAGAGGGAATTTATTTCTTTCTATTATTCGTTTCCATACTGCTTAATGTTTAAAGGTGATAGCTCTGATTTCAACTTCATGCTTACCAGCTCTCATCTATGTTGTTTGCTGGCTGATTGCTAGCTTGCTAATGCTAATAGTCAGCATCAGCAGGCATTTAACTATCCTGTCTAGAAGGGTAGGGACAGTGATTTTTTTACAGCAGGTTTATGATGGCATCTTGTGCTGGGGTTTCTGATGGCTGCATGGTTTTCTTGCTCAGGTAAACCAACATAAGTCTCACTTCTAAGGGCAGAAAGTCTAAAGATAATGAGGACTGTTGAGTGCTTTTTCTTTGCTACTGGAACAAGGCAGGGAGTTTTACATATATTAACGTAACTGTCCTCTGGGTCAGACTAAAGTTAAAGAGGTGCTGTAGTATCCCATAATGGATTGTGAGGTGAAATTGTAGACCAGGGCTCTGTTTCACGAAGCAGGTATAACAAATTAAGATTCAAATCTGCAACTCTAAATTGATCTGCCTAAAGTCAGGAACTCTGAGTGTTCAGTTCCACAATGGCTGCTATCAATTAATCCAATCAATTTTAACTAGGTCCATTCAGAGTTAAGCACGTGTGCAACAAGTATAAAAAGCCATTATTGGTGGAGCACCGATTTGACGAGTCACCATGCCACAGGCAGTCACAGCAGATTCGGCATCATGTCAGCTAGGAAGTTTGTTGGTTGTGGCTGTGAGTGTGGACAAAGGAGGTTCCATCACACTTACCTTCGCTGATAGAAATGCATTCTTGTGTAGGGTGACCAGATTTGGGTTTCTGAAAAGGAGGACAAGGGGGGGTTGTCGACTGCTCGGCCAGAACTCAGCAGAGAGCCATGAGCCGCCCATCCTCCCGATGGAGGAGGGTGGCTGGGGAACGGTAAGGCAGGCGGGGGGCAGCACAGGGCTGCCGTTGTCCAGGCTACTATTACCGGGTCAGGTTTGATCGCTCTGTCCCCCGCTGGCTCCCTGTTTCAACTACCTGCTTGCACTGTAGTCAACCAAAATTCCGGATGATTTTGAAAATCCTCCTGGACATTTTTTTAGGTCTGAAAAGTAGGCAATGTCTGGGACAAGGAGGACATCTGGTCACCCTAGTCTGGTGGGGAAGTTACTCATAGGTTTTGAATAAGCTGGACACCACAACTTATGAGAAACTTAAATTTAACCTATGTCAATGCTCAGACAACTTACGTGCAACTTATACCCCATTTATGGCATACACTGGCACATGTCGGGAAATTGTAAGCATGCTCAAGATTTCTCGATGTACTCACCAGAGGTCGACGTGTGCCAGCATCTTTCAGCGTGCTTATAACTTAAACAAAATGTACCCATACCTTATCCAACATATGCTAGCTTTTTTTTTTTTTTGCCAGATTTGTCATTGTCGCCAAGGTGTGACAGGGGCTTCAGTCACTGTTTGATGGTTCCTTGTCATTATTTCTTTGACCTTCATGTCTGTTTTCCTGGATTTAAGTATTTTGTTTGTTGCCCATTAAATCTGCAAGAATTTGGAATAAATCATATTCCCCACTTTAATAAACTCTTCCTAAAACCCCAAATTTCCTACTAGTCTCTTTGTGATGTAATTGTCTGGCCAATAGTTTACCAGATTCTTTCACCACTCTCATACACATTATCTTTCAACTGAAATAGAGCATGCAAATCTTTTTAACTGTTGTAAAATGTTTCATTTATTTGAAATTTCAGGTCACA